AAACTTTACAATTGCCTTTGTTAAAATATTAGATTATGATTAGATATTGTGAAAAAAATTGTTATTTATTTAACTATTTTAAAAAAGTACTTGAAAAATTGATCAGTTAATCGACATAGCAGAAAACCTAATAAAAACAGCTCCGGTGCCAGATCTTCTTCTACCACATAGTTAAGTAGCTAGTCTAGTTAGTGTTACCATTTAAAACTATCTTAATTATCAGAACGTGACTTTTAAAACATGTTTCATTAATCATTACTTGTTGTTGTTTTTGTGTAAGCCACTAATATTTTTATATTGATAACATTTAAGAACACATAACTGTCCCTGTTTTTAAAGTTTCTTCTACTTCCTATTACACATTTTTTCGGTTAACTATTGTATTTTCTTAAGCAAGTTCTGTACACTTTAACCCTGAAAAGTTTACAATATAAAGTGTTCCCATAACGTCTTGGAACTTATCGGAATCAAATGTGAACATTCAGGTGAAAGTAATTTTGATTTTAACAAAACATTTCTGATGCTACTATAAAGTGTACAAATACTCATATTTGAAACTTTAACAATGGAGTTATTTCGGTGCAACTTACAATGAACCTGAGTGTTCTAATTTTGTTTTTAAAAACGTGTTGAAGTTTTCTAACGTCAAGCAGAATTACTTGAAAACAAAGTTTTTTTTTTATCCATTAATTAATACATGGCCATTTTGTGAATGAAAGTTCGTTTTCTGAGAGCATTGGAGCTGTTTTGTTTCTTTTCTGATGCTGAACATTTAGTTTGTCATTTTTACTGGTTGGACTATTTAGTTTGTCATGTTACTGGTTAGACTATCTAGTTTGTCATTTTTACTGGTTGGACTATTTAGTTTGTCATGTTACTGGTTAAACTATCTAGTTTGTCATGTTATTCGTTAGATTATCTAGTTTGTCATGTTACTGGTTAGACTATCTAGTTTGTCATGTTACAAGTTAGACCATCTAGTTTGTCATATTACTGGTTAGACCATTTAGTTTGCCATGCTATTGGTTAGATTATCTAGTTTGTCATGTTACTGGTTAGACTATCTAATTTGTCATGTTACAAGTTAGACCATTTAGTTTGTCGTGTTACTGATTAGATTATCTAGTTTGCCATGTTACTGGTTAGTCTATCTAGTTTGCCATGTTACTGGTTAGATTATCTAGTTTGTTATGTTACTGGTTAGACTATCTAGTTTGTCATGTTACTGGTTAGACTATCTAGTTTGTCATGTTACTGGTTAGACCATTTAGTTTGCCATGTTATTGGTTAGACCATTTAGTTTGTCATGTTACTGGTTAGACTATCTAATTTGTCATGTTACAAGTTAGACCATTTAGTTTGTCATGTTACTGGTTAGTCTATCTAGTTTGAGATGTTGCTGGTTAGTACGTGACAAACTGAGTGGCAGGTCATTTTTTTTTAAGATCGCGTGTTTTAAGAATTTGTTTCCTACAAATAAATAGAGATGGAATACAAAACTGAAGGTTTATGTTGCGCATCTCATAATCCGTTTCATTCGTGTTTATGATTTTCTATTTTATTTCTGTATAAGAAAAAACAGTAACGAGTAGGAATAGTAAAACAATACAGTTTGATAAAAGAAGAAAATGCTTTTAATAAATATCACCAGCAAATACAGACAGACTTCGAGACATTTAACTAATTACAACCTTTCTAAATTAAAACATTAAAAAGACACACGTAAAAATAATTGTCACGTATTGTTTTGTTTTGGCATTGAGAGTTTAAATTCTTATTTGCTAATGAAATAAGAACTTGGCTGCATATTATAAACAAGTAACTGAAAACGTATATATAAACCATCACCATTGTGCATTAAAAACCTTACATTTTCACAGTGTTCCCAACAGTTTCATTTCTAGATTCTACAACCCGTACCACATAAGCCCCCATACTGATAATATGATATTATATTGGTTTTTAATCAAACAAAAAGTTAGAGCTTGCAAGGATAGCATGATCCAAAATAAACGAGTCAGCCCTGTAAATCAGTAAATTGGGTGGACTTTTGGTGCAAACAAAATCATTAGGTTTTTTTCTACAAAGAGCTATTTTCTCATCAAAAATATAGCCGTCTGGACAACGATAAAGCAGCCCTATGAGGCCAGATGCCCTTTCTTCGCATCTGTAAAATCTTACGCAGTCAGATTCGAATGGAAAATTACCTGACACTTGACAATCATATAAACTCCCGACATCCACAATCACATTCCCCTGGGTTGTAGTTTCCGTTGACTCTGTCGTTATGTCTGTAGGTATAGTTGTCCCTTCAGTTTCTCCATCGTCAGTACTGTTTTCTGAGCTATCAGTTGGTGGGCAGGCAGTGTTTTCATTGCAGGGAGGGGACTGATCGGGCCAATTACAAATACTTTCACGTTCATCAAAGACAAGTCCATCTGGGCAGTCAAACTCAAATATACTAAAATGTCCATCGTTTCCTCCAAAGTCCACACATCTGTAAAATTTGTGACAATCACGTGGATTTCGAAAGAACCCTACTTCTAGACAGAGAGAACTGCTTTCGTGGGATGATTTGCTACTTTCTTTAGACGAGTCAGACGGCGCTCCCGAAGGAGGTCCACTGACTGTAGTAGAAATCTCTGAAGTTGATTCAATTTCAGGTAAAACATCTCCTGAGGACGGTCCACTTTCTGATGTAGAATTTTCTGATTGTAATTCGCTTTCAGGTGTCGAATTTCTAGCTTGTGATCCTTTTGTTTCACAAAGTGGAGCTTTACTAGCCCAATTGCAAACGCCATGACGTTCATCAAAAACAAGGTCATCTGGACAGTTAAACTTATACTTAATGAATATTTGACCTTGCTCTACACATCTATAAAATCGAGTACAATCATTGGGATCACGGAAGAATCCAGCTTTGGTGCATTCAGATGCACCTGTAGGTTTTTGTGAGGATTCTGAAGCTGATGTTTGGTCAGACCCTGAAGATTCTCTAGCTAAATTTTCATCATTTTCATTCCCTATCAATACAGTCTCTCCTTGAGGTGGTTCTTCTGATACAGGCTGTGTTCGCGGACCTCCTTCTGGAACATCATCTACTTGTGGGTTACTTTCCCCTTGGATTGGCTCTGTTTCCTCCCCTTCTGGTGGAGGTTGTCCGATTTCATTGTCAGCTTCAGGACTGGAGCCTGTTTCTGATTTACTCGAATCAGGTTGATCTGGACCTGATTTAGAATTCTGGTCTTTTGCTTTAGTATCATCTTGTATTCTTTCTTGGCCTGGTGATAGTGGTATTTCATCAGAACCTATAGATGTTTGTTGACTATCACACAGAGGTGCCTTATTTGGCCAATTACAGCTTTCGATAGTTTCGTCAAAAACAAGACCACCTGGACAGTCAAACATATAAATAGCAAAGGGTTCTCCAGTTTCTGTCAGGTTAACACACCTGTAAAATTTATGACAGTTTTCTGGATGACGAAAAAACCCGGCCTTTGAACATGATATCTGTTTTGATGTTTGACCATCACCAGTTTCTTGCAATGACGATGATAAGCTATCATCTGGTCCAGAAATCTCAGAACCAGGGGGTATATCAGAACCTACTGGAGAATCTGGATATTGATTGTCTCCTCCTTCTTTGGAGTCAGATGGACTATCTTGTTCAGCAGGTGACGATGGTTCAGATACACCTACCATTTCTCCAGTTTGAGGATTGTCAGACGCACTGTTTTCACAGGGTGGAGCAAATTGTGGTAATCTGCAGGAGCAGGTAGCTTCATCAAAAACTAATTCATCAGGACAGTCGTACTGTAAAACATTAAAGGTCATAGCTGTACCTGTTAAATCAGAGCAACCATAGAACTTTTTACAGTTATTGGGATGGCGAAAGAAACCTTCACGTAAGCAGACCAGTCTTGAGACATCTGGATTTATGGCTGTCAAAAAGCCTCCTCTATGATTATCATTTTGAATAGCATTTCTGGAGGGGTGACTATAGAAGGCTACATGTGTTTCAGATTTTCCAGGAACTTTAGATCTAAGATCTGAATCTTTTCCTTTTTGAATTACAGACGAATCATCAGTGTTACAAGAAGGTACCATGTATGGCCAATTACAAGAGTAGTAACTTTCATCAAACCAAAGACCTTTTGGACACTCGTAGAAATAGATATAATAAGGGGGGCCTTCTAATGAAGTATTAACACACCTATAAAACTTACTACAATTTGAAGGATGCCTGAAAAATCCTGGTTCATAACAAAAAATACTTTCAACGTCTTTAACAGAATCTTGTGGAGTATCACTATTATCACTAGAAGATGAGGTTTCATCTTGTGTGATCTCATCACTTTCAGCAGATGAGTCACTATCTTCTGCAGAACCACTGTCACTTGGAGATGAAGTGCCTTCTTCTTCTGTGGAATTACTACCACTTGGAGTTGAGACGCTTTCTTCTGTAGAGCCACTGTCACTTGGAGAGGAAGCGCCTTCTTCTGTGGTGTCACCAGTTCTTACTGATGCTTCATTGTCATCAGTTGCTGTAATTGGCTTCTGTGTAGTTTCTTGATCTTCAGAAGGCTTTTCTGTAGTGGAATTTGGGTCCCATATCCCCACATTGTCACAAGGAGGAGCAACGGATGGCCAATTACACAGATTTTCTTGTTCGTCAAAAACCAACCCTTTTGGACAGTCAAAATTAAACAATGTAAACCGTTTCCCATATCCGTCGAAATCGACACAGCGATAAAACCTACTACAGTTCAATGGATTCCGGAAAAACCCTTCTCTGAGGCACGACAGCTTAGTGTCGTATTTGAAACGTAGGCTTAGCTCCACAGGTCGAACTGGAAAAGAGAAAAACAGCAATTTTTCACCTGCAATCATTCTGGATTCCATTGTTATATAATACAATATTTTAACGACTAGCTGTAAATAATCAGAATATAACTGGATATACTTATAATCGAAAAAAATGTAATTTTTATTATCCTACAAATGTATAGTTGAATATAAACATCTATTGGTATAATATATATCACATGGGTTTCTATATCAGCTTGCGAGTTCATCAACGAACACAAATATATAGCTTACTAAGACTCATCTAAAGACCATTGCAATAGAATCCACCTGTTTCTGTAGTGGCTTGAACAATGAATACTTAAAAGGGTTAACGTATTTAACAAATCTTTGCCAAGGTTTAGGCACAGCCATTCCTAATTTAGAACTACTGACTAAAGGGAAGGGAGGGGGTAAATTAGCAGCATCCTCTACCTAGTATGTAGCTATAACCGAATAATGAGACTGACTGTCATATTTAAAACAACCCAAAGCGGAATGTTCAGAGCATGTTCAGCGTCATACAACGACTTGCATTTGGAACCTTGCGATCCGCAGGTCTTCATGCTAATCATTAGGCCACGCCCAGCCCTTAATATTATGATTTTTGATAATAACGTGAGTTCGTTTTATTGGAAAAAATATCAATAATATAAAGATCAAGTTATAATTTCTGCCACACTGATACACAATAATACATCTTCCGATGGGTCACCGGTAAGTTTCAGGACTTACATTGATAAAATCCGGAGTTCGATTCCCCCACAGTAACACATACCACATATGACCAATTATGTAACTGTGCGCTAAAAATCAAAAATAACAAAAATAACTACTTAAAAAAATCAAGTCGTGAATAAAAAGTAAAGAGGCTAATTAAACTTTTAAGTGAGAGCAGTTTTGGAATTTTCTATCATAGCAAGATAAGGATAATATTTTAATTTAGTTACGTTATTATAGGCTAAGTAGGAGCATCAGAGCAACATTCAGATTAAAAGTTTTATTCATAAATAATGTGATGTAATGAGTTAGTACAAACCTTCAGAAGCAACAAGGAACCACGATGAAGAGCAAATAATTAGCTGAAAACCCAACGTCTTCCATTTCTCCATGGTTGACACTACAAACGAAAAAATAAAGAGAACGATGTAAAACTTTAAAAAAAGGAGTTCTAAAACAACGAAATTGTATAAAATCTTCACACCATCTCGTATAAAGTATTAGAATGTTCAGTTTCTGTTATACACATGTCAGAACTTTGGTGACAGATAAGAACGTTTAGATGCTTAATAAAGATAAATTACTGATCCATTTGACGGTTGTTTTCTTGACACGTACGTCTTTACAGCCATTTTTTACTTCCTCTCATGATCTCGACTTGCTGTTTAATGCAGCATGAGTTAATCATTGTGTAAGATTATCCTCTTGTTGTATTCTTTAATCGTTTCCACCTTCAGGTATTCAGAGCACATCAGAATGGTGGAAAATACAGTTCAGTAGAGACAGTCCGAAAAATCTGTCACTGTTAAGTTTTCCAGGCTTAACTGGTTTCAAACATACTGTTTTTGTTATAGACTTAAAATAAGACCCAAAACTCGAGCGCTTTCGAATAGTTGACTATTCTTCTTCAGGAGTTATTGAGTTATAGGAGAAGGTGTAACTTGTAGGCTAAGGGAGTTTTAATATTTATCACTATCATCACGTAATAAAAAAATATTAATAATTTTAGTTATGAACTACTTGTGCTAGGTATGGCTCAGTGTTTAGCATACTTGGACAGTGAATCGTAGAATTTGTTAAGTAACTTCACGCGGAGCTTTTGAAATAAAGAAAGGTATGGAATACAAACACCAATGTATATTTCAAAAACATTTCTCATTTTTATGTTCGAAGTATACTTCAACACATAACATTATCTGTGTGAACTTCCAAAACTGTTAAATGTCTTTTCAAATCAATGTGCCTCAACACGGAACATTATCTGTGTGAAACTCAAAAAATGTAACACGTTTCGTGAAAAAATCATAAATAATATTCAACGTTAAATTGGTACACAATTAAAAATATTTTGTTTAGGCCTATCCATGGCCTTCAAGAATTGACGACTCAACATTTTTCGACATTACAACGTCATCCTCAGGAGTTGTAACGTCGAAACATGTAGAGTCGTTAACTTTTTGAAGGTCATAGATAGGCCTAAATAAAATGTTTTTAATTGTGTACCAGTTTAACGTTAAATATTATTTATGATTTTCACTTTATACACAAGTGCCAAAATACTATAATTACGTTTCGTCAAATCATCGTGCCTCAACACGGAACATTATCTGTGTGAAACTCTAAAAGCTGATATATGTTAATATGGAAGCTGTGTCTGTTCGTAATTAGAGGAAACTATTTTGCCTTCCTTTAGTTACAACAGTTAGTTTTGCTGCCGTCAATTTGAATTTATGGGGAAACATTTTCTTTGTGTATACCTCCTGCTGCGTACAATCACAGATAGAAAAAAAATGGAGAAATGTCATTTAGTTGGATTATTTACTAATATTAACGCCAATAGTCATTGTAATCAGCCATTGCTTTCACACACGTGCGTGTGTGTTTGGGAAGAGTCTCTTATTCTTTTAGTTCGTATTTATACAAGTTATTTTGAACGAGTATATTTTCCCATAATTCTGTTGGCAAACATTCAGTAAACATTAGCCCTAGAATTACTGGTTTTTTTGTTGTTGTTGTTTTAACAGTTTCTTTTAAACGATATAGTTCTTGCGAATCCACGATTGTTGGCTATAGGGGTCCTAATAATACGAGTCATACACACACGAAATTAAACGAAGGTACCATCAATATTGCAATTAATCCGACCAATTACTTTATTCAGTTTTTCGTTAGTTTTTTACACTGTGTGTTACAGCAAGTAAAAATATAAATTATCTCAGTATGTAAACCTAACCAGTAACGAACATTATAAAAACAAGTTTGTAATCTGAGGGTTAAGTGAGCATGGAGAGTATTGTATGTTTGAGTCATAACCTCCAACGAAATTCGTTTCACAACATATACTAAAACTAAAATTCCACAAAATAGAACCACTATGAAAAAAAAAAATGCAATTCCCGGACATGGCTAATACACTCTTAAATGGGTGTAGTTTAAGGAAGTTGCTGTGTTTTATGTGGTATCAACTTAAGTTATCTAATATATATAAATAATCAGGTTCTCTGTCAATAACAATTCAACTATATGTTTGTGAAATATTTTATACCATAATTTCTTTTAGTGTTTTTACAGGGAGGGAGATACTATTGTTGAACAAGCCTTCTTCCATTAAATAAAAAGTTGTCGTCATGTTGCTTATCCACCCAAGAATTCATTTAAATATTATCTGCTATTTTCTCATTAATCACTAGATTAAAAATGTGGTGGTTGTTAATTGCATGTTGATAACATGTATGGAATCAACAACACGTTCCAAAAGGGGTGTGAATTTCAACATTACGGGTTTTGAAACTCACACAAAAAAGTCATCACGTGCACAAAATTCAAATACTTTCAGGCACAGACTTGTGCATTTGGTTAAAATGGCACTAATAAATTTTAGTATACTTTTTAAAACAACAAGAACAAAAATTAAAAAAAAAACATGTAAAAATTCATCATATCTCAGTTTCTTTTCCTATGTAGGTAGTTGAAGATGAATTTCATTGAAAATCGTCTCTTTATAAAACGAAGCAGTTTTGAAAAGAATGATATTTAATGTTATTTATATATTGATGCATATCATAGATTTCGCTACCCTTCACTAACGGGTCAGCGGTAACTTTACGGACTTACAACATTTAAATCCGAGTTTGAATTTTCCTTGGTTGACAGATCGCAAATAGCCTATTGTGTAGTTTTGAACTAACACAAACCATCCAATTTGTAACATATTCTAAACTAATACATTTTCAGTGTGTGTAGTGTTTCACATTTTTCGAGGTATTATTCCTTTGTTTTTAATTAACTCATTTATTTTCTGATCGTGATTCAGATTCAGTGCCTTAATTACAGACATTAGTCATCTCTCGTTAGCAATTTCACTAGGTAGGCTCGAACCGGACTTACTAACAATGATCATGACGTCACACCCAGTTTAGTCTTCTGGTGCCCGTTCAGCCGTCTCTGCAATAAAATGTTAAATGAAGGATCTTGTGAAATGAACAATAGGATAAATGATAATGAGAATACTTGTGAAATGTTGGAATGATTAGTGAGAACTCCAACCAGACATGAATGGTAAAGTAAGACGTAAAGGTTTCATGTCTACATAAGAAAAGCTAGAGGTTTCATTTAATACACCGAAACGTAATAAAATAAATCGTTTCTTCTTTGTCTTGTATTTTTCTTTTGAGGAAAGATACACCATGTGCTTATCTACGCTCTGTCCACTTAGAGGAGCTCCGAATTTTAGCATTGTAAGTCCGTAAACTTACCGCTGACTCACGGGGGGGGGGGCAAATTCAATTTATAACCAATACATTTGCGCTTTTCTTTTTTTATTATACTGAACAGATATTTTGAGGGCTTGACATCTTTTTGCTAGACCTAGAGACAAGCAACTAGTGTATAAGATGATTTAAAATACATAAACATTTCAATAAATAATTAAAAAGGCGTATAACTGTCGAAATGTTGCATTAGGATTTTTTAGCAATTTATTCATGATTTTAGCTATTTTATTTTACTTTACATAGTCCCTCAAGTATTAAATAATTTAATATTTTGTTACAACAATAAAACGATATATGATTAAGAGAAACGCAAATATGTCGAATTGTCATTCCTATGCTAACCCTAATAAGGCAGATCTGTTCGTCAAAAGTAGATTATATACTAAAAGCCAGGATTTGATTCCCCGTGTTGAGCAAAGTGTATATAACCCATTGTGTAGCTTTGCATTAAAACACAACACCAGCATCTATTTGTTTAAACTGAAGATAAAATGCGAAATTTTTAGTTTATCAGTACGTTTTCACTTTTTCCATAATTTATTGTTTGGTTTGTTTCTTTGTTGA